CTCACATCAGTGGATAGTACCTTCTTTTCAACCACTGGTTTAGAAAAAGGCATTTTCCCTTTTCCTTTTCCTACAAGAACTATGACAAAGCAATGACTAATATTAACTGATCAAGCATTTTGACTACATGTTGCTGTTGTTTTACAATCTGTATCTAGCACTACTGACCCAAGATGTTTCAGCAATGCATCCTTTAATCTTCATCCTGTTAAACAAAGAACTACCCTAATAAGACTATAACTCAGCTTGGGAGCTAATACAAGAATAAGAATACGGAGGCCTCACAGCCAAAGGCTTTGCCTTGCCTGCTTCATCCAGGAAGGAATTAAGATTCTTACTGTAAGTTTGTCTGCTGTGATGTATAGTACTTGTAATACCTGACCTGAAGACCTCCCCTGAAATATGGTTCACACTTGGTATTAGAACTTTGAATAAAACGTTTTAGCAAGACATACTTATGCTCGCTAAAACTGTATTAGAACCAACACCCTGTACATTTTTCAGTTTAGTACCATGGCAGGAATTAGCTTGCCACAGAGCCACAAATAATTATCCTAAATCTTACTGAAAATTATAACTGAAGAATGATGAAATATACAACCCCTCTGGGGCTGGCTTGAAGGAGTTCAGATGAAAAATCTATTCCTAACACTAGAATACTATGCTGGATGGAAATGTGGTGTCTGAATTCCTTCCCTGTGTCCTATCAATGTTCAATTTGACAATCCCTCGGAGATGGATGCACCATCAGTGTACCCATTATTGAACAAGCATTACATGGGATGCTCAGCCTCATCAAAAGGGGTCACCATCTCTGTCACCATCCACAATACTACAACTTCCACTGAAGAGGCCAGAGTAAAGATGAAGGAAGCTGCTGACCACATTGCTGAACAATTCCAAGCACTGCAACCAAATAACTTGTTCAATGAATCAAGCCTTGGATGCTAGATTTCTTTTGGCTTTAAACCATGGCATGGGGAAAGTGTTGACACAAAAGGGACTGTAAAATTGGTGGGATTATGCTCGTCAGAACCAACGAGCATAACCCTTTTTTGCAACTTTGATTAGCTGCATACTGTCTTCTGCTTCCTCCTCTCCTAGCCCTGCATATAATATATAGAGATCACCACAGTCAAAGATGAGCCATATGCCCAACCAATAGTTAAGGAATATTTGAGCCACTGGGTGATGTGAGATGTTTGTCTCAAACATTCTGACTGTTCTGGCAGGAAAGCTGCGATTGGAAGACGGCCTCACTGAGGTGGGGCAGCACACTGCTGAGCCAACTCCCTGCTCCATCTGGAGACTTGTGCTCACTTCCCACCCTATGCTCATTCCCTGGAGGAGGGCTCCAAGGGCTGGCTATGCATCCAAGAACAAAAGAGCACAAAAACGCTCATTCATCTAAGAGGCTGCACCAGGTTAATATGAAAGGAAAGCAGACTGGACTCCACTGCTTCTCTTTTTCCTCTCTTTCTCTTTCACAATTCCAGCTCTGGACCAGCCACACAAGTGAAACCAAAGCAGGATCTAAGGACTAATGGTATTCTTTTGTTCTCTTCCTTTCTGCTTTTGTTTCTCTTTCCCTTGACTCTGTCTGGGCAAAGCACAGCTATCATCTTCTATTCCATACTCCATACTGAAGTTTATTGTGGGAGTGGGAGTTGTGGAAATGTTGGGGTTTGTGAGCCAGCACCCTTAAGTAGAAATGTTGGGGGTTTGTGAGCCAGCACCTTTAAGTAGTGTGTTGAGAGTTTATTAAAGTGTACTGCAAAATTACAGGCTTGCTACCCAGCACTTGTGGAAGCCTTCAAATGTAAGGGCTTGTTAGCCAACAGCTTTTAAGTATTAAATAGTGGGCTGGTTTGCCAGACACAAGGTGATCACACAAAAAAGCACAAGAGCTCCTAAAGAATGTCCAGTGTTTTTGTTGAATCCTGATGAGAATTCATTATGAACACCATGGCCCCTACAGATGGTTATGACGTGCTCAAGCAGAAATTCCTTTAGCTAGTCTTTTGGTAGTAGTTTAGCATCTGCTAGAGGAGATAAGTCTGAGCAATGGAGAAATATGTCAAAGGGAAAGGGAAAAATAATAAAGGAGAAAGAAAAGCTGAATAGTGAATAGGACATCTAAGGGTCATGTAACAAAAGTAGTAAATCTAAACAATAAGAAGAGGTGAGCAGGAAAGGTACAGCTTTTACACACCAAACAGCTATTGCCAAAGAATCACCTGATCACAAGAAATCAGTTATACTAAAAGACCAGCAGAAACATAACAAACACCACTACACAGCACTGAACTGTACAAGCCCACCTCTTAAAAAGTTTCATTGTAGCTCTTAAAAAAGTCTATTCTTACGTCTCAAACTGGGAGTATGTGTCCAACCAGAACAGGCAATAATGAATTAAGGACAGATGAAGAGGAAGATTCTGGAACTGTAGCTGTTCTACCAAATTAAATTTATGCGTTTATGTTTAAACATTATACGTTAAAATGCCATATATTGTATGGACGCTAGGACCTCACATAAAAAAAAAGTCTAAGCTATTTTTTACAAAAGTCCTGAAGCTGCCCTAAGCACAATAACAAGACAATGTTTGTATAATTTTATGCACAGGGAACTATTAATTCAAAACAATTAAAGAGTTTGAGTCAATAGAGCACTTGTAAAATACACTTATTTTAACAATGCAAGCACTCCTGAAAGCTGCTGTATAAACACAGCCATTCACTGCACTTGAGACAAAACCCACAGAGTCCTCCTGCACTAGAGTATATGGCTACCATTGATATACAAAACATCTGGCATAGAAGATGTCTTGCTGCTCATAAGACAACAGTAGGTCAAAACTGGAAACGCTACCATGAGGAATGCAAATACAATTTTAGGATACTGCAGGAGAGATTACAACAACCCACACCAGCCAAGAGTAACTGCTTAGACTGCAACTTAAACTTAAATTCCAATAACCCCATTCAGGAAGGCTAAACTTGAACTACAAAAGTGCAATACAGAGAGGAAGTTAAGACTGTCTCATTTACAACAACAAAACAAGGGCTAAACATAGGCCTAATGAACTGCTCTGAAAGCACAAAAGTAAAAAGTGCCAGAGAAAGCAAAAATTTACATTTCAAAAGGAAAAGGATGATATGCCACTGTATCTATAACTGTTAGAAAAAGTCCCAGCACTGTCTCAAAAAGGAGAGAACAGGAAAAAATACAAAATCCAAATAAATCCCACTGTTTGATGCAGCTGCTTTTAGCAGACTGAACCTTGTGACTCAAATCCCTTCCAATCTGGAAATAAGTATGTATCTGAAATACAAACTGAAATAAAAAGGGAGAACCATAGTAAAAGAACCACTAGTTCTACCTGCTAATAAATGTATTCTTATCTAATTCTTATCTAGTTCTACCTGATAATAAATGTATTCTTATGATGATGTAAGCTGCAATATTAATTTTCATTATGATTCCTTCATCTGTTTTTCATTGCAAGACATTATAGCTTTTCATGCCACTAGTGTAAGAGGAAAAGTGGAAAAGTCACTACATACTCAGAGTTCTTTCAGCACTAGTAGTAAATTACATATATACTTAACTGTACTGGGTTCTTTAGTGACTTCAAACTAAATTACTTAATAAAGTTGCTTCAAGCTTTTACTCAGCTGGGAACAAGCAGCTCTAAGATTGAGATATTTGGAAATCAAAAAAGTAAATGTTGACAATGACAGGCATCACATGTGTCAGCTGAAATGGGCTGAAATGGTAGCCACGCTTACTAAGTTGCATGTGTCATAAAAAGTTTTTATCAAAAACTCGATCAGATAAAGTTGCCTTGCTCTACATGATCAAGTAATTAGTCCTTAAAAATCCTCACTACCTTGCAATGTATTTCTACAAGTGCTTCGTAGTAGACAGCCTTTAAGTAGAAGAAATTCTCAGACTATTTCAACTTTCACCAGACATACAAAGTTCAAGATATGTTGAAACAAAATGAGTGTAAATCTGATTTAACAACAATAACCCTCAAAAACTGTATCCAACATTGCTCTCTCTATTTGCATGTTTTGCATAATTTGCATGTTTTTAAAACACTTCTACTACTCCAAAATAAGTATTTCCCAACCCAAGGGGAGTGATACCAGAATTTTTCAGGAGTTTTATTAACGTTTGTAATGCTTATCAGGTTTCTTAATCAAAAGCCATGTATTTCTGTTCCCAGAGTTTACCTTTCACTTTATGAAAACATACTATGCATGCAAAAAGTTTGTGCTACTGCAGCAACAAGAAGTCCTAAAATCCTTCAGCTATAAGAAGTAACCAAGTGAATTTCATCATGAAAGACTCGGTTATGACAACAGTCATTTACCAAAAAGTTTAAAAATCCAGAAGCAAAATAGAGTGTTACCAAAGTAGTTCTGATGATTTGAGAAAAAGCCAAAACAATGATGTATTAGACACATATCCAAAAGTATCATGTTTGAAAAAGAAGTAAACATACTACACAGCATTGCAATAAAACATGTCTACCGAAGTGATATGTAAATACCAGCAGTTAGAGATGAAACTACTTGGGGGCAGGAGTGTGACATTAAAACACATGCAGTCTCAACAATGTCTGGAGTTTCCCTAATAGTCATCTGATATAAGATCACAGCAAACTTATTGTTCCTCTACTTTGTTGGACAACAAAGGAATCTACTAAGATGACTGCCGTAGAGTACATCCTTGAAGCAGCACTAAACTATCACTGACTTTGCAAACACCAATTTAGCCCTTGAAAAACAGTGACAATAATTAAAAACTACTTTTACACCAATATGGCCAAACAACACAATTACATATATCACTAATTGCCTTTTTATCTAATTCAATTAAATCATACAAAACTATTAAATGTTTCAATTAAAAAATCAACTCATTAACATCTGAAAGGAAAAATCCAATTAGTTTTTCATCCCAAATCCTTTAAAAAAATATTAACTTACCAGCTTAATTGCCACATAGTCATTTGTGTATAAGTTTTTCCCTTGAAAAAAGAATAAAAACAAGAATGTGAGACACTGGCTTTTCTGTTCAACTAAATGCCATTTAAATACCAGAAAGTTTCAAATATTTTTCATCTAAGGTGCTAGTGTTCTGCAGTGATTACGAAATGTAGGTTTATTAAACCGAATACTTTAATTTAAAATAACTTCTCTTGAATAATGTAAGAGATGGAAATTTCACAGAGAAGTTTCAGATATTTCACCATGTTTGTGATTATTTTGTACTAAAAAAGCTTGAAAACTGGTAATCACAATAACCAGAATGGGATTTTTTCATAATTATTGCTGAAAAATACGTGAAAATTTAATTTTTAAATTACCACTGCAATTTTGAAAATAGCACTAATAAAAACTAGAATAACTAGTTAATTAATTGAGGACTGCTTTTCTCCTCAATTATGTAATTTACTAAGCTAAAACTTAGCAGGACAATAACATTCCTATAGGCTTACACCCACTTGGAAAATGCATCTGCAGCTTTAAGAGGGATTCTGTAACTGGGTAAGAACTTTTCAAAAACCATCACTTCAAACTGTATGCAATTACTAAATGTTAAACAAGTTTTATAGGTGTAAGATTGAAAATAGAAGATAAGGATAAATTGTCACTTCCAACAGTTTTTCTTTCTTGACAATCTTCAAATGCATTTAGTCTATGTTATTCTAATGATAATCCCATTTTTTCCCTGTAGTATTACTCAGGTCAGAATTTCCTATGTTAGCTTCAGTTTTCGTTAAAGAAATCAAATGGGGAAAAGACATGGACAAGTCTAAAAAGTTCCCTGTGAAGACAGTTACACAGAATCCATAGAATATTCTGATTTGGAAGGGACCCACAAAGGACCACTGAGTCAAACTCTTAAGAGAATGCCCCACAGAGGGTTGGACCCACGAACATACTTCAATCAAGTGAGTTACACCAACAGCCAAAGACTATGAACTGCTAATGATCTTTTAAAAAAGAGAGTATTCCTGTAAAGCTGAAATAAAATGCATTAAAAGCTTACATCTCTTAGTGGATCAAACTTTCACAAAAAAAAAAAAAAAAACAAAAAAAAAAAAAAAAAACAAAAACAAATAACCTGAGGGCTTCACAACAACAAAACACATTAATTATATGAGCTGTATATGAGCAGTATGCTATAATCGGAACCCACAAAAGGGGTCATAGTCCCCTGTGTAGGGACTAGAGTGGATATCCAGGCATCCTAAGTATTTCTTATTGGATGATCATATCAGTTACATTTTTGATAAGAAGTCTACCTTGCAGTTGTTTCTGCGTCTTTGCATGGTATTAGAATCTATAAGACACTAACAGAAACTCTTGTGGGAGCCCGGCTCATTCCATCTCTTAGCTATATACATCACCTACTCTGAGAAGTAACAACCCAGTTACAATTAAGTAACAGGACATTGAGTTCCAAAAGCTGTAATGACATCCTTATTCTGAAGTAGCATCAGAAGGGACACTAACTATCCAGCGGTCAGTCCAGGACAAACATCTCTCTAAATACAGCAGATACATATATAAACACCACTGTTGATCTGTCCATAAACACATAACAGGTATTGAGTAATGCATCACTTGCAACAGCCACAAATTCTTTTACTACTTTATCAGTTTATCTTAACTATATCAGTTTAATTTAACTATAACAAAGAGTCTTAAAATGAACAGCTCAATAGCCAAAACAATTTAGTCCTTCACAAGCTAATGGTTGAAGATCACAGACAGTAATTTGCTACACAGAGCCAATTTCCCATTTGATCCCCAAGCCACTAGTGAAGTGGCTTCTTTCTTCTCAGATGGAAGAAAAACAGCTCCCGATATATAACTGAATTTTTATCTTCTGACCCATAACTTCATCCCTCTACAACTTTATTCCTTCTTTAAGTCCCTCAGGTCTAACCTTAGGACATATGCCCAAAATATATTTCCATTTGCAGAAGTGCATATAAAAACTAAGCACCTTGTGTACATCTTTGTAGAAAGAGAGCACACTAAGTACTTGATACTGTAGCAAACCAAATAAAAAAAAAAAATTAAATCAGAATCTATAACAGCAATACTAACTTTTGCTTTCAGTAACTTACATTTAAAACATCTTCCTCATAAAGAACAATAAATAGGGATTTGAAATATCTAGAATATAAGCAAAACCCACGGTTATCAAAATCAGAAAGGCTACACGTGTCCTGGTGACTGCTGCAGGACAATACGCTGTCCCATAATCTCCCTCCTATTCCTTTTACTTACGTGTTTTACTTTATTTCAGTACTATCAAACTGTAAGTCTTAACTAATTGAATATTGTATTTAAAATAAAATACATTGTTTCACTGTAACAGCTGCAAGTAAGTTAGTCAGATATTAATTCTTAATCAGCTCTGTACTTTGTGACCAAAACAATAGGCAGACAAAAAAATTACTAGTTTGCAGTCGCCTTTATGTAGAAATTAATCTTGCTGGTTAGATTTAGCTCATTGAGAGGTTTGAAACAAAAATTAAGATTTGAAGGCAAGTATGCAAAAGTTTGGGAAGTGAGGAAGAGCAATTTTTCAGCTTGATTTGCGGACTGCAAAGGCATGTATGTAACACTGTAAATGTCAAAATGTATCAATTTTGTGTAACTATTAATAGTAGTAACAAGAGAACCTCTTAGTGAGACTGCAAAATTCAGTGTCCTAAGTCAGAGCTGCAGCAATATTTTCTTAAATCCCTCTATAGTATTAATTTGCTACGTTTGTTTACATCATGACAGGCCCCAGAATGTACTACATTAAAAACATATTATATTTTATGCAAACACTATATCATAAATATTGTCTGAAGGGCAATGAGTATTAGTTCTACACAGGCAATGATCAATAGAAACAACACCTATCAATAGAAACAACACCTATATAGCCCACCATCCTCTCAAATATCTAACTGTGAAATCCACCTCTATTTACTGCATGAAGCACTTTAACTCAAACCTTCTAACAATACTAGAATAAATTCTTGCCATTAAGTGTCAAGATGTATTTATTAACACACAGTTGAACTTACACATCTTGAAAACCTTAGCTAATCATGCTGTCCATCCTGGAAATGCAAGTTCCCAAAACTATACTCTTCCAAAAGCTCACACCCATCAGTGTCTATTTTAATAAATGCTAGAATTTCCAGCTGTGCTGCCCAAATTCTTCAAAACTCTACAGGTCCTTCTCAGTCTGCCTTCTCCACCATCTGATTTTCAGCCATCTGTTCAGCAGACAACTTGAGTGACTGAATTATCTCAAATTTTCTCTACAGATTCTCACTGCCCTGTTTAAGAGCAACTCAAGTATTTAGCCTCACTACATTAAAAAAGAAACCAAGGAATTTCCTTGCTCATGGGTATTAAGAATTCTGTAGTACCTGGTTACAGTATCTGCAAGAGATCTGCCAGACCTACAGGACAGGGATGTCTCTCATATATTTAGTCCTAAATATAACTCAATAAAGTGCTTCAGGAAGTCAGAAAAGCCTGCCACAATAACCATGATGTAGCTTCCAACATCTTGGAAGAGAAAACTGACTGAATTAGGAGAGCACTGCACATAGCTAGAAAACATTTCAGTCACAGAAGTATCCTGATGTACAGATTCTTCATGTCATTAAGCTTGCACTGGCTGGGGCAAAACCACAAAATATGGGCTGAATGTGCCTTGCACAATTGAAGCTCTGAGACAGTTTGAAGAGCTGCACGGTATTCGAAGAGAAATTTTCTTACCTAGACTGCATAAAAATTGCCTTGAATAATGTAAAGTGAAATAAATTAACAAGAATCTTACCTAACCGTAGTTCTCCAAAATTACCGCATCCAATTTTTTTACCAACTCTGAAGTTAGGGCCAACCATTAACACTCCACAATTTGAAGAACCAGGTCCACGTGGATTATGGTCTGATCTCCCACTAGGCCGTGCCATTCTTTCATCTGGTTTGTCTTTGTCTTTCTTTTTATTTTCCATGTCAAGTTTATGGTACTCCACTTTGATTTATTCCTCTTTTTAAAAATCAGTATAAGCAAATTCCAGTTGGACAAGGTGAGAATGAAAACATCATGACTGAAATGTCCAGCCGGTTACTGTCAGGAAGCAGTCAACGGCATCATGCTCATCCTGTTTGCAAAGCCTTGGTGGTACCTGTAGTAAAACGTATTTCCAGAATGCACGACACCAGCAGGATTTCCTAGTCTTTAGAGGAATTCTGTTAAAATAAAAACAAAGTTATTCAAGACACTAAGATTCTTGTACAAAATTACCTTTCCCTTCAACTAGCCTCACAATTAAGCTGTAATTAATTATATTTGCTTTACAGATCTATGAAAAGCACTACTTTAAGGTAAATTCTATTTCTAGTATGTAACAGCAAGTGATATTGTTGTGACTGAAGTGTACTAAAATTTCAACACTTCAAATAATAGGTTGGTTTTTTTTAAAGCAATAAAAAAGACCTACAAAACTTCTTCCTGAATAAACACTCTTAATATTGATGCTTGGACACACTCATTTCACCTTATGCCAGCTCTTCAAAAGATATTTATTTTCCCTCAAATATAATCTGCTGTTTTAAGCAAATGCTCAAGCTGCAGTTATTGAAGTTATAGAAATATATTGTATTTTCTGAACTGTAATTTCTGAGATGTACAAATTATAAACTCATGGCAAGGACGAGTTTTTTCAGTAACTCTAAAAGTCTAAAGTGTAAAACTAAACCGTATTTACTTATTCTCCCATACTACACTTCTGTCATAAATCTGTTTCCTTGCTCCCCTTCTCCCTTCTTTAGCATCACTGCCTAGACACAAACTTCCACAAAATTCATGCAAAGCAAAAACAATGTTATCTTATTACTGTAATAGGAATCATAAGAAAGCTTTTGTTTTTAAATTGAGTTGTAAGAACACTGGATATTGTTTTCTATTTGATGACAGTGGCATAAACCCCCGTAATTCAGAAGTTTCTATGCCATAATTGAGAAGCGGGAAAATTCCACAATGAGTTAAACATCTGTCCAAAATTATTTTCCTACATTTGCTTCAATGTTGGGAATACACTGCAGTAATGGAGAACATCCTCTGGAAAAATGTATTTCATGTGCTACACCCTATTTTAAAGGTAGTCACCAGGAGCTTATTTTTAACACTTTGAGATGAAGACACTTTTACTTTGTAAACCAATTTCTCACAGAGTAAAATTATTACTCACATCTGACCACAAAATTTCAAAAATCAAAGTGGTAATAGTGAAAAATATACAAAATAATATGAACAGTCACATGAATAGCTGCATCTGCTAAATCCGACATAGTTATAGCATGGTTATAACTAGATGACATTTAAAAATCATTAATCAACAGCTGACTAACCTATTATCTGAACAATGAAGTACATGGAAATTTGTTTGGCAAAGAAATATGACCGCAATATGACCATAAAAGGGGGAATGAAAGGCTTGTTCTGAGATCAAAAAACACAAATGCAGGTTACAATTAAAGATGACTTGCTTACAACTAAAGATGACTTGCTTAATACCAGGGAAAAGGACTTCAGCAGCAGTTAATTAAAGCTGTGGTGTTTTATGGTACAGACAGAAGTGTTTAAGAGAAAACAACAGGCACATACTACATAATCTTGCAGGTTTTCAGATGCCCTAAAGTCACCTTCTAAACCACAGATCTCAAAGGATATGACTCAATGGGAAGCAATAGGTAATTTCCCCTCACCCACTATGCTACAAAAGCTAAAGAAGAAATAAGAAAGCTAGACATCAAGTGTGTTGAAGTAGAACTTCAAGGTCAGCATGTTTGATGCAACGGAATGCAACTAGATGTTTTAGGTACCAAAGAAAAGAAGGCTTCCATATTTTACTAGTTTTTTCAGAAAGAACTTACAATAAACAATCCTAGAATTTTTAGTGTACCGAATACATGACAAAAACCAGCAATTTTGATTTCCAGAAATGTTTCTATTATATGGACAAATCTATTACACAGTAACTTATGTCCTCCCCTTTCCTCCTGTTGAACCAACAGATACTCCATTTACATTATAGGTAAGCTTTCTTATATAAACTGAATTTAGTACTTTTTATAAGACATGTGCTAAATAACCAACACAAGTCCCTCACATTTTTCCCACACTACATATCAAAACGAAGACATCCAAGTATTCCTTGTCACAGTTTCTCCAGGACACAGCCGCTCTCTTATATTTTCCTAATGAAATAATCTGCAATTAACTCAAAATAAGGACAGTGCTTATGACTTTATTCATTTTGAAGTTTCTGTGCGATATTTTATGTGTTTATCTTAAAAATACAAAAATTTCTCGTTGTTATATTTAATTGTATTGTATTTACCTATGACAGTATTATAATGTTGATGGCAGTATCTTCTCTTCACCATAATGCTTACTTTCTAGAGGAAAAGCACCAAAAGGCAAAGGGATATATTTATGTAGTATTTGCAATTATTTATCATGTAAAACATTTTCATACAGAATAAAAGTACAGTTTTTGGAACTGTTCATTTTTTTTAGACTATTGAGGAAGATGCAGCAGATATGTCTCGAAGACTCAACATAATTTTTTTAAGGCTCAGAAATCAGACATCATTCAAAGGTGTGCATCATCTGAAGCACAAAAGGAACACATACAGTGTAAGCATTGTAAATTATTTGCAAAATCATTTTCTTGCTACATGATAGTTTTGGACAATCTGTGTGAAAAACACTCCATCCTCATTTCACAGCTTGATTTTCTTTTTAATTTTCCTTTTTTCATTTATGCCTACATAAATGAGCACACTTAAACCACAAACTTCAGCCCAACATCAGGGAATGTTGTTAGGATTGAAATAACTGTTCTTAGTTCAAAAATATGTAGGACTAAATATCAGGACAATGGCAAACACCATCAAAGCCAAGTTGACAAAGCAGTATCATAGGAGTGAAATTACTATGTTCAAGTGTGAAGAAAACGAGAAGGGAAAATAAGCTATCAAAAGAAAGTCAAAATGGTATTACATAGAAGAACAAGTAATTAGATCTCAATTATAAATTAAATCTGTAATCTATACAGACTGAAGATAAAAAATAAAACAAGATTGAAAGAAAGCAAGTAACTTCAAAGTAAATGACATGCACAACTAACAGTAGCTACCAGAGGTTTCATTTTTTTTGGTGTAATCTCATAGACTTTTCCAAGCAGTGCAGAGAGTGTGTGTGAAAAGTAAGAAGCGGCACAGCAAAGAAAAGTAAGAAAAATTACAATAGGGTTTCAACTGGCTGACAATTCACACACCTAACACCCGCAAAACTATATCCCTAGATTAGAGCTATAAATCTACACATCTCTCTAAATCTCTGCTTGAAAATGTCCCAATTAACACTACTGAAGACTACATGCCACATAAGAATCCTATTCTGTAGCAACGACAACTCTCTAGGACACTACATAAGGCAGAATAGAAGAACAACTCATTTAAGAATGTTCTTTATTCATACATTTCACAAATGCCTGATCCTGCAGCAACAGCAGGAACACCACTGTAATTAAATGCAAGCTTACATGTTCCAAAGTGTCGTCATGACAATGTTCATACTCAAGTCACCTTTAAAAAAAAGAAACTTACTATCTACCTTATTCCTTTTTCATATTCCAGATTTACTCCTAAATAAACTAATTAAGAGAACATTCAATTAGCTAAATAGAACATTCCACTGCCCAGGAATGACAAACTTAAATGACACGTACAACCATAACCACTCCCTTAGGTAATATAGGCATTACCTTCACATTGTAACTACAAGATTATACTGATATTAGCAGTGATGTATGCTAACATTTTTCTCTACTTTTAAGAAAAGCATACAGCAGCAAAAGAGCTACAGAGGAAAATGTGATGGAGCTTTAAACTACATTGGAAGACGGAAAAGACACAAACAGGTTTAACAGTAATAAGCAATGGGATGGTATGCCAAAATTCAAGGAACTGAGTGCTAGTGAGATCCTTAAACTGGTCCAGGAGGTGTCAGCTCCAAGCGATCACACCCAAAATGTTTTCACACCAACACACATAGCATGAGGATCATCAATGGAATAAGTGAAACCTGGTGGATGAGCCCCTTGATTGATGTGCCATGTTGGATGGTCACAAGCTCTCCAGGAGGGACAGGCAGGGCAGGTGAGCTGGAAAGGCTGGAATATTGCCTGAAGCCAGCAATGGCAAGCTGACAGTCTCTGAGTAAGGATTAAGGGACAAAAAAATAATGTGGACATCATTGTACGAGTCTACTATAGGCTACCTACCCAGGACAATGATTCCAGAGAATTACTCTTTGAAGAACTAAGGGAAACCTTCAAAACAGCTGCCCTTGTCCTTACAAGAACATCAACTTGTCATATGTTAACTGGGAGCACCACACAGCTGGCACAAATAGGTCCAGAACAGTCCTAAATCTGGATAGTCTTATGATACAGTAACTGATAAAACCAGCTACAAAAGGTGCCCTCCTTGATGTGCTGCTTATTAACACGGAGGATCTCATAAATGAAATGGTGACTGGTGGCCACCTTGGCCACAGTGACCACAAAGCAATTGAGTTTAAAATCTCCCTAATCAGGAGGAAAAGTGACAGCAAGATTTCAGTCCTGGGCATGACAAGAGCTGAATTCATGCTCTTTAGGGAACCAGTAAGGTGCCCTGAGAAAATGGTTTTGTGGGTGCTGGGGTCCATCAGATCTGATTATTTTCTAAGCCTCACCTCCTAGGGGCACAGGAGCAGGAAGTTCCAAAATGTCAGAAGTCAAGCGGAGGAGGCAGAAGGCCAGCTTGGCTGAGCAGGAATCTTCTCTCAGAAATAAGGCAAAGAGCTGTATGCCCAGTGGAAGCAAGGTCTGATGAAGGGAAGAGCTACAGAGATGCTGCAACCACTGACAGGACCCGAGGGAATGGCCTGAAGTTGTGTCAGGGGATATTTAGATTGTATGTAGGAAAAGTTCTTCACTCAGAGGGAGGCTTGGCACTGAACAGGTTCCCCAGGGAAACAGGCACAGCATGAGCCTGACAGAGCTCAAGAAGTGTCTGGGCAACACTCTCAGGCACACGGTGTGACCCTGAGGGGTGTCCTGTGCAGGGCCAGGAGTTGAACTTCAATGATATTTCAGGGCCCCTTCTAACATGAGATATTTTATTATTTTATGAAAGACAATAAAGAAATAGTCCTGGTTTCAGTACAAGGCATTTAAAATTCACTCCGTCTTCTGGCATTTTCAAACTTATGCAGTTTCTCACCTCTCAATTATCTGTCCACATATTTCTAAGCCCAAGGGCTCATGATTTTTGGCAGTTACAGTAATTTAGCAACACAACCTCTCACATCTTCTAGAAAAGTGCAGAGAAAGTTTCTAGTGCCTTTGCCAAAGAGACTTTCTTTAACACTACATGTAATTTTTATTGAATACTTCACCTACTACAGTCTTCAACTGAAATGAAGAATAGTTACATTCACTTTCCAATGATTATTTCCATGTTACAAATACATTTGTACTGTAGAAAAAATAACACAAGATCCCATCCAACAAAACTCCTTTAGAAATACTTAAGAGTAGAAAATCTGAAATTCATACTACAAATCTGAAACCAAACAAGAGCTTCGCTGTGAGATCATAATACGAAACTTAAATACCTAATCAACTATTTCTGCTATTTTTGTATACTTCATGGAACAATTAAGCTATTCTTTCTAGATTAGTTATTATTGCATTATTTTCATTCATTTTTATATACGTGTCTCCATGCAACAGATGAAAGCTATGAAATTCCAAATCCACAGCACAGAGGCTCATAATTGAAGATCCCCCTGAAAGTTTAGGATAGCAGTTTCTAACTGCAAGGAAGTTTTCAGACAGCATTTGAATTGGAAAATATCCCTAAAATTATATATTATTTAGTTAGATCCACTGTTTATTTAAAATGAAAAATAAACATTTCATGACAGAAGAGTGGATTTCATTATTTTCACTTTAGTCCAAGAAGAGCAACTCAAGCTTTCACATGACTTTTACGTGACCCAAAGTTGAGTTGCTATTCCAATGATTTATACTACAAATAAATGTCTATAACTTTATTTTTTGTATAATATTTTCCTAAGGAAAAACTAAAATAAAAAGTTGCTTAACGATTCACTGCATAACTCAACTAAATGTAGCCAAATTATTACTTCATCATTTTTCAGATCTCCAAAGCAGAAACAATATGCAAAGTCATGAGCACTTCAGTCAAAACTAAAAACAAATTTCATGTGCTGAAATATTCAGTACATAAAACTTCCACAGATGGTACATACTCATGATACCAGCTTTGAAAAACAAAGAACATTTCCAAACAAATTTCTTCTGATACAATTTCTCTCTCCAGCTCTCAGTAACCTGTATCAAAATTGCTCATTACTGGATCATTTTACAAGTCTTAGATGGTGATCTTCATATGTGACCTAACACAACGAAAACTTACTCATCAACAACTCATTTTGCTCTAAACAATATAATCTACTTCATACACCTGGGGAATTCCAAGACTAATGGCATCTGATTTTACTTTTTTTTTAAATTTTTTCACATATCAACGAAATACAGCTTGGCATTATCTGCTCTTCATATTTTCAGAAGTTAGTTAATTCATCAAAGACTCTTTTATTATCCCATTCCTTAGGTACTTATTCTGACTTCAATTAGGTAAACAATTACCTTGGAAGCACTGTAAAAAGACTATGTACATTCCCTGAAACATCATCTTCCCCAAAAAAAAAAAAAATCAGTAGTTTGTAGCAGATGTGAACTAATCCAAGAATTAAGGACAGTCTTCTTCAGCTTCATGTAGGAAGACTGCTGTCTCCACAATAATAAAATAAGAAACATACAAGAAGTGACAATGCACCTAAATAAGATCTTCAGCAGGATTAACATTCAAGCCATCAAAAACCACTGCCACATCATTTCTCTGCCAATTTGCTTTTCAAAATACTGAACTACAGAACCCACATTTGCTACATTTTCTTCACAGAGAAGAAGTACATAATACACAAGTAAGTTTGAAATCCTTCCTAGAGTTTTATCAGCAAAGAGGGAAAACACACAAAGCAACTGCTATTTCTTGAACACACAGAATTTTTCACACTTCAGAAGATACGGGTGTTTATTTAAGAATGCAAATATAATAACCTAATTTCAAAGGCAAATTAAACTTCTTTACAACACATTATGCAGGAGCTCTACGCTACCATTTCTTTCTTACTTAAAAGTCTCAGTTTTCCACTGATTCTCATTTTCACTTTCTGAAACTCAGACAACAGTACTGTTCTCGCAGCATTCGGTCTTCTTCCACATCTGCCTTTTGTAATACCAACCTATTCTAGACTCAGCTAAGTTTTGCAAAACCAAGAACAGAATTTATTAATTTTGGTGTACAAATTAGACTCTCAGCATTCCTAAAAAAATATGATGGTTGTAAAATATGTATTTGCTTACTCTTACAGATATGTATGATCTTCCTCATAAAACAAGGGTTTAGATAACTGAATGTAAGTCTACATAGATACAGTCTCAGTCTTCAAATTAATGTGAGATACATTCAAAGAAGCAGCCTAAATGAAACTGTCAAGGTAAATCCAAGTATCTTCCTTATGAATGAATTTACATAACCAAGCCTTCAAAAAAGTCTTGTTTTCATCTCTAGTGGTAAATATATTAAATAAAAAATAACATTTTTCTCTTACCATATCAACTGCCACACACTATTTTCAACAAAAATAATTAATTCAAGATTCTAGAATAAACATTTCAATTTTCATGTATATAGGCATGTCCCTAGGAAAAGTACATCAACAAACCACATACAGCCACATATAATACTCCTTTAATGCACAAAATCCAACTGAGCTTTATTAACACATTTCATCAACCACTCGCCTGTACAAGAACTACCCAAAAACTTACCTCATCCTTACTGAAGCTTGTTTAAGTCTATTCTAGACTGAAGCTTGTTTAAGTCTATTTAAACTAGTGTAATTTTTCCTGTACCAAGGTTTAAAGTCACATGAACACATCAGAGGGCTGCCAATATCCAAATTC